ATAAATTCACATATTTGCTCGCTAAGAATGTCAATTTTAATATAAAACATTGAATCTAACTAAAATTTATCACACATTCCTCTCAAAGACTCTGAAAAAGTTTTTTTTCTACAAACGTCAAAAAATGACAAGGTTCGCGCATTGATAACAAATTGCGAAGTGACACTTTTTCTCAGTTTCCTACGTTACCATGATACCTTGCACATAACAATGCGCGAAGTAAAACAGTGCGCGAAGTACCTACTTCGCGCATTGTTATGTAAAATATGTGAGATATTTTTATGCCAACTTAATGGTCCTCAATCGAGCAAACATCCACGAAATCATTTATTTCTGAATGTTCAACCATAACTTTGTTTTATCTCTTGGAGCGCACGAAAGGAAATTCCTATTATGTTCGTGGACCATCGTGTGTACCTAGGGAGGTTAGGGGGAGGCTTTTTAAGCCAGTTCAACACTATTTTTTATATCAAGCTAAGCATATTTTCACTTTAGAACTATTTTTTTCGACGTTTGTAGAAAAAATGTTGTTTGCAACTCGAGCGCGAAATACTTTGGTCATCTCGACTATTTTTTTAACTCGGCAACGCCTCGTTAAAAAAATCAGCTCTCGATCACCAAAGTAGCATTTCGCGCTCTAGATACAAAAATAACTATTATCATAAATATACCATATTGGTATACTATAGTTTTTCCAGCTGTATAATGTTGATCAATTTTTCTTGGGACTCATGTTTGGAAAATTCTAGCATCTCCCAATAGGTATCTTCTTGGTATTTTTTCTTTACCATTTTCACTTCGTTGCCTTTGAAGTGAATTATTTTGGGACCATATTCATGAACTGAAGTTATTTACCTACATATTCAACCAAGAACGCTCCTTTCTCCATTCCCAAATGAGACAGTTATCCTCCCCGAATCTTTACTGTTTGTTCTTGTCTAGAGCACGTAAACGCCGCTGTATCGTTCTCACTCGTGCGCTCGGATGGCCTCTTACGCATTAGACAATAAATAATGCTTCTACAAAGTTCATTTTTGAAACGTGCGAAAAATTTATAGGAAACAATTTGTTGCTTACATTTCAATCTATCGAAAGATATCATAAAAATCGAAATTCATATCGTGAAATAAAAAGTTATGATAAACTGAAGAGATGACAATGGATGACATTTCCCAACATATTATATATGAATCGAATCTCCAGAAATATGCTTGATCAAATTATGAAAAGACTACGTATATAAGTGTTATAATTGCGAAGTTACAAAGGTTTATATATTTACGCGCAAAGTTATTTTTTTCTTAAATTTTCGAGTTTTGTCGCCTATAACTTTTTTCGGTACCATAGAAAAAAGTAGTCAAGCTGGAATATTATGTAATAATCATATATATTTAAGGTGGTGAAGGTCCTATATTTTTCTACTCCGAAAAAAAAAAGTCTGTAAGGAAGAGGATTGTGCCTCGTTCTCCTCTACACTAGATGTATATTGCCTAAAGCACAACTTGTACGCTGTGCCTGTGGGTATTCGGAGAATTCAGCGACCGCAGATGCATAGGGGTAACACTCAAGGCCGCTTTTACTATAAATGTTGAAATATTTTACGCTAGAATGAGTTGGAGTGAGACACTAGACGACTTCCTTCGTTATCGGGCCCCGCCTCCTTCGGACAGGATTTTTACTTCCCCCTTTACACCTTCCCACTAAACATGAAAACATAACTTAAACATAAATGTTATATTACATTGTTACTTTGTGATGTTATTCAGAGAGATGCATAATGTCACAGACACGTTGCGGGAATAGGCTTATGTGCCTTTTTTAAATATTACAATGTAATGTTAATAGTAAATATTGTATAAATATATCAGGAATCACATAAAATCGATGTTACTTTATAAGGTATATTCAATGTTACTCGATACATCTAAACAATATTGTATTTCAACATTCTAATTATTTTCTAGGAGTTTTTAGGTTATGTCTATTTCGTCTGGAATCATCAAGACAATCATCTAAATGATATTCACAAAAGACAGAGAAGATGATCTATCCCTGAATAATAATTGATCTTACCGTACTCCTGAAAGACTATAAGTATGATCCAGTTACATAGTGATAATTTGAGACAGATTACCTACTATCTATCTATGTATCATTTTAGTTATTATGCTTCATGAATCCAGTCATACCAAGCTTAGCTTCATGATTTCTGCATAGTCCAGTGATCTCTTACTGACTTTCTGAAAAGTAATAGGTAAATATATCCGAGTTTTCGGAAGTTTTCTGACTTATTTTGAAATTGTTCTTCTTCTAGCTATAACTCACCCATTATTTTTGTAATTCGTGAAATATGAACACAATGCGTATTCACGAATCCCTCCTACTTTTTCACATATTATGTTAAATGCAGATACATATTGGTTGCATTTCTATATTCCAGCAGAACAAACCTGGAATCTAAAGAGGTATCATGAGCAGTTCATATTTTCATTCGAGTCTATTTGAGTCCTAGACTTCTTTAGTTCTTGACTTACTTTAATAACTACGAATAATATCTGAAAAGCAAGTTTAACACTGATCACACTGTTTGACCTGTTCACCATAATAGACAACAAACAAAATGGCTGGAATGGAGACAAGGTTACTTTGCCGTAGGAGGGAAAGTTGCACAAATAACATAACAACTCTGTCTGAGATATATCTGATGAACCTAAAATCAGCATATCACAATATTATCTAATGGTATTGATATCAATATTGATACAACGTCTCATAAACGTTTTACTTCATAATATCATGTTGGATACTTCAGAAGGACATTATGGCAATGTTATTTCAACAATATCACAAAACTTATAACTGAAAAATATTTTTGTTATGTATCATGTTTAGTGGGTTAGATAAAGTTTGACCTTTTTCAGAGGGTAAACCCCTCCTTAATGACGTTTTACCTTGTTAAATATATGGTTTGCAAAATTTTAAAGTTAAGCTAAATATATCGTTGCAACAAACATGAAGTTTGTGATGCCCTAAAAAAATCAAAATCCAAGTTGATTGCACAAATATGCTTGAATTTGAACAAAGGTATTATCTACTGATTTTGTTATGATTAACTTATGGAAGTGTCAGGGTGAATATAAAAAAATTACAAATTGGGATATTTATTAACAAAAGAAATTTGAAAAATTAAATATGTCCTCAGGAGGCCATGTTTTGGTATTTTGACATAACTTTCAATTGCAAAAAACTTTTCTCATTAACATTTTGCTGAATTTTCTGAAATAAGGGTACTTTACTTTTGAGCAATTTTTATATTTTTCGACCTACCCTGTATGCTGTTCGACTTGCAACCATTTTAAGTGCACCTGAAATAATCACTGAACATGCACCAACTTTTGGCACTATCTGTATTTTGGTTGTGCAATTCATATAAAAGATTCCCAATATGTTGCACACTTAAATGACCACACTGTATATAACCACCCCACAAAACAGAAAATTCATGAGAACAGGTGGGAAATCTCTTGATCTCGGTTTTATAATGTGAATTAATGATTCTGCTCTTGTGAACCAAAAATAAACCCCTTAACAACCATTCGGAGTAGCAAAATCTAAATTCAGTTAAAACACCCCTTGCACTAGTTTTTTCATATGCTGAATAGGTAAGCTCTATGAAGTAGAATAATTTGTGAACCCGAAACTATACCCCTCAATAACTTCCCGAAATAGGAAAATCATAAATCAGTTGAAATTCCGGTGACTCAAGGTTTTTCTGATGGGAAAGAAATATTCAAGACCTATACTAAATACACTCTATAGGGTGAAATAGTTTGTGAACCAAAAACTATCCCCTTCCAGTTACTCAAGATTTTTTTGATGAACATGAATTTTTCTAGACCTGCAGAATACTCTCTATTGGATGAAATAATTTGTGACCACAACAAACCTCCAAAATAGAAACATCATAAATCAGTTGAAATCCCTGTTGCATAAGATGTTTTTCAAGAAATGAATTATTCTAAACCTGCTGAATGCACTGTCTATTGGGTGAAATAATTTGTGAAGATAAAACTATATAACCCTTAACAACCCTTCAAAATAGAAAACTCAAAAATCAGTTGAAATTCCGGTTGCTCTAGATTTTTTTATGAAAATGAATTATTGTAACCAGCAGAATACTCTATCTATTGGGTGAAATCATTTTTGAACCAAGAACCACCCCACAACAACCCTCCAAAGTTGAAAAATCATAAAGCAGTTGAAATTCCCATGGCATAAGATTTTTTTCAAGAAATGAATTATTCTATTGGGTGAAATAATTTGTCAACCAAAACCTACCCCAAAACAACCCTCCAAAGTAGAACAGTCATAAATCAGTTGAAATTTCCATTGCTCAACATTTTTTGATGAACATGAATTATTCTAGACCTGCAGAATATGCTCTAATATTGATTGAAATAATTTGTGAATCAAAAACTACCCTACTCAACAACCATCCAAAAGTTGAAAAATCTTCAATCAGTTAGAATTTCCATTGCATAAGATTTTTTTCTAGAAATTAGTTATTCTAATCCTGCTGAATATGCTCTAGGGGGGAAATGATTTGTGAACGGAAAACTACCCCCTCAGGTTGAAATTCCCTTTACAATAGGTTTTTTTTTAAGTAATGAATTATTTATTATTTCAAATCTTCCGAAATCTTCTGAATATGCTCTAGGGGGTTAAATAATTTGTGAACAGATAACCACATCTCAACAACCTTCCTAAATAGAAAAATCACAAATCAGTTAAAATTCTGGTTGCTCAAGATTTTTCCATGAAAATGAATTATTCTAGACCTGCAGAATATGTTCTATTGGTTGAAAAAATTCTTGAACCAAAAATTACCCCACAACAACCCTCCATAGTAGAAAAATCATTAATCAGTTGAAATTTCAGTTGCATAGGATTTTTTTCAAGAAATGAATTAAGGGTCTGAAAGGATATAATAAGCCTTCTGCTTGAATTTATTGGGTATATTCATGAACTTTTTTCAAACAATAAATATTTGCCTTCAGAACATGATAATTATAGTAGATTAGATTACTCATAATAGAAATTATAATGACATTAGGATTATAAGTTATTAACAATATCACCCAATATTTTCTCAATGAAATTTTCACCACCATTTCCATTGAAGAATGTTATATCTTTTATGCAAGATTGTATTTCTGATAGTTGTTTGATGTGTTCTGGCCAAACACATTTTTCAAAATATCCTGGACAATCAGGAGGATCATAAACCCTGGTAATTCTTCTCTTCATGCACTCTGCATAATCTAATATGAAGTAATACTTCATGTCAAGAACTTGTGCCAGAGGTTCATAATTAAAAATTGAGAAACCTTCTACTATTAAAAATGAAACATTTGATTCTTGGGATTTTTTGCTGATCTCCTGTATGATTTTTATCTGAACTTCATCTTCAGGAACATGTATTATGCCTGAATCATTTTTCTTTCTCCGTTTTCTTTTACCAATGGCCTTCAAAACATCTTCATACATTTTATTCATGTCAAGACTAGATAGTATATCATAGTTGACATGGTTCAATTCTGGAATCCATACATGTCTGGGATCTTGTTCATCAAGAATATAATAGTCATCTTGTGAAATTATTCTGGTGTTTGGTAATATGTTTTGTAATTTTATAGCAGTTGTTGTTTTTCCACCACATGTAACTCCACTGATTCCAATTGTAATTACAATATTTTCATTATTTTCAATGTGATTTTCAGACATCATGTAATGAAAAAGTGTTCAGCTTGAATGTTGAAACATATGATAACAATAATATATGCATGTTGGACGTTGGATAAGATTATTTCCCAGATTAGGATGGTTCGGTTTTCTATATAATTGCCCAGATTAGGATGGTTCCGTGAGTTTCTAAATAATATAATTAAATAAACATTCTTTTGAATTTTCGAATGATTCTTGCGCTGACAATTGACAATCTGTCAAATTGACAGCTCTCAAAAACTCCGATAGGTCAGCATATATCTACTACTCATATATGAAGCATAGCTGTCCCCAAAGCGGGGCCAACTTCTGTCTCAAATCGACCAATAGGCGTTGATGCCCAAGGATTTTGAACTCTACTCTCCTTGGTCGATGCCAACATAGGGAAAAAATAATACGACAATATGGCTACAATGATATGGCTACTTATTATTTCAAATTTTCCATCATGGGCGATGCGCCATATTATATAGAAATAAGGGTTATAGTTCAGTGATGGAAACAATTGAGTTCATTGGATGGAAACATATACGTATTAATAATCAATACGGATAATCTCTATCTGTTTTCATAACGAAACATGAAGCCGATTTTTGAAGATAAATGACTATCCATAAGGAAAAGTTTTGAAACGATCAGACACATACTGCTTTGATTGAAAGGCTAGTAAACGTCATTGTCCACCGAAACGCATGTCTTTGATGACTACTATAATAGCGCATGGCGCATGCGTATCATGCCACCAATTCCTTATGGATATTCATTTGTTTCATATTTTTGGCTTCATCCTGGCACCCGTTATGATCCGTATTGTTTATTAATACGTATATGGATGGAAATAGTAGATGACAGTATTATGTCAGTAATGTCAACTTCAAGAATGTCAGAGCACAGTGAACCGGGCGGCTCAAGTCAGCGGCCAAAATTTCCGGAATCCGGATAACATATGAATATACTTGTCAGGATGAAAGTAGGTGGAATCATATAATTAGCACTCTCACAATTCCGCAAGAAACTTTTCACGTTTCAATCGATCGTTAGAGTGATAATGGTATATATCGAAGACTGGAACCTTTGGCACGATGATACACTACACTGTTTTACCACTAACCAAACCGATTTTTTAAACGCCCCGACACGTGTTTCGCTAACTATGTTAGCATCTTCAGGAGAAGATTAAAACTAACTTTAGTTAGTTTAGTTTTTGAAAAATCGGTTTGGTTACTGGTGAAACAGTGTAGTGATAATTGTATGATTCCACCTACCTTCATCCTGGCAGTCGCACGTTTTCAACCTGAAATCGATTTTTTCCTATTTTTCCAGGACTGAAATAGTTTTTCCAACGAATTCCGCAAGAGATTTTCTGAGTTTCAATCGATTGTTAGAGTGATAATATTATGATTCCATACCTACTTTCATCCTGGCAGTCGCACGTTCTCAACCCGAATTCGATTTTTCACTATATTCTTCCAGCACTATGAAATATTTTTCCGCGAATTCCGCAAGAAACGTTCCAAGTTTCAAGCGATTGTTAGAGTGATAATGGTATGATTCCACCTACTTTCATCCTGTCGCACGTTTTCAACCTGAAATCGAATTTTTTTTTTGTCTAGGACTATGAAATATCTTTTAAAAACGTATTTTATTGTCTACTTCGACTTTTTTTTCTTCGAGATCTTAAGTTGCCAAGGAATTCCACAAGAAATTAGTCAGAATATGTTATTTTTTCATGATGAAATAATTATGAAATCATCAGCTCATCTTATATAGCTCATACAATGTTATCCAGTTGGGCCAAACTAATTTATCAGGCAGTTGAGGTTTGGTTGAGGTGCCAATTATTTATTATTCCTGCGGTAAAAATCCACGACGCCACTGGATGGTCGGCAATATCCGGAAATTTTGGCCGTTGACTTTAGCTGCCACGTTCACAGTGCTGAATGTCAGTCAGCTAGTCAATGTCACATTTCAGTTATCAATATTGATAATGACATAAACATCTCAATAATGACAATATTCATTTCATTCTTCAGTTTCACTTGGCAGAAGGGTAAAAGTGTTAACAAAGATGTTTATTGTTTGTGAAATCATTGTGAATCCATAACAAAACTACTAATAGATGACAAAAATAATGTCTAATAAACTTTAGCAATGAGTGTTTTTGGTGATTTCCAGCAGGTGTGGCTCCAAAGATTTCCCGACAGTCCTTTGCCAGGAGCTTGGGAAGAAGATGTTAGGGCTAATTTGGCAAAACATAAACAGAAGGTGTCTCTGCTCAAAGAAGAACTGGAAAAAGAGGAATTTTATGTGGAGTACCTGGAAAGATTGTTGAGTGATGTGGAACAACACAAGAAAAAGTTGGCTAAAGAAAAGAGCAATGAGAGTGAGGAAACTGATGATGTCATTGGAGATACCATATCTAAAGTAAATATTTCATTTACCTAATTTCCATGGAACCATCCATGTATACCTTTTCCAAACAATAATTGTGTGAATATTTTAATAATTTTCAATTTTTTGGTAAAGTCTAAGTGAATAAACAAAGGTGTGAGCTAAAACTGATGAAGTCAGTAATAATACTGTATTATGCACTTAGGGTGGGAAATTATACAGGATGATTCAATAAGAATGGGCATTCTCTGAACTACAAATAGTAAACATGCCCTGAAAATGTTGCTAAGAAGATACAGGGTACTCAAGGGGGTGATTCCATTTTAAAATTTCTCAATTACCTTGTAAGTTTCAGCAGTATGAACATAACATTTTATAGTTTTAGGTTTTGTGACATGATAAATAAGAATTTATAACTTATTTTGTGATTGCTCATAGAGGGCTCTAGTATCACTGTTACTTCATTAAATTACATCATATCTTCTTTGGCCATTGAACATTTTTTAAATATGTCAGAGATCTAAAAGCCAGTTCAATTTAACATAAAAAAATACTTTTCTTTAAATTGTATGCCTCAAATTATCATTGACTATTGTAATGACCTGTGTTTCACTTGTAATATTCTTATTAATTTAGATTATATGGTTAGCAAAGTGACACTAAAAAAAATAGTAACCAATGATGACAATCACTAACAACACCAACAACAAACAGAATTTCAAAGTAAATGTTTCACCTCATGTTCTACCTAAGTTATTGAGGAATTTCAAAATACAATATTCCCCTTGAATCTGTTGGATTTCCTTAATCAGCAATATTTTTACAAGACATGCTGGGCCTGCTCTTCAAATTTTGGTGATTGCTCTCTCTAGTTCAGAGACTGCCCATTCTCAATGAATCACCATGTATAGCAATGACTTATATACTGAGGTGTGAATCACCAAGGATATAATGTGTGCTTTATAAGGGTTTCCTATAAAGACCCCATCTAACTGAAAGAGAATAAAGATCAAATGGTACCTACTATACCTACCTTCTATGAAAAATCTTCATAAGATGTTTTCTGAAATATACTCTGGTTGATGAGATTCCTAACCTGAATGTTCTGTTACCTAAACCCAGTCAATCCATCACTGACTCAAAAGCAGGGCCACCAGAGTTGCAATGAGCATTACCAATTTATAGGAAATTTATGTCAATAGAAAGACACAGGAGTTTACCACTCCATGACAACCATATAATAATGAAATAGTTGACATGTTGGGAAAAATGCCTATCAGTGATATACATTTTCTTCTCAATCTCCATAATTTGATTTAGTGATGCATAGAGAAGAGAATATAGGTAGGTGTGAAGTTTGTGATTTTATGAGCCAAGAAAGTAATGTGCAACAATACATGAGACTAGTTCACCAGGTGAATACTGGTAAATATAAATATTTGTAACCATATCAAATAAGTACTAGAATATAATGTGAACATTTTTGTCCATAAAATTCACTGAACCACAGAAGAAAGAAGAAATAAACATTGATGACAACTAGGTCATGACCTCTCTTGATCAAGTTAACAACCCAGAGTATGTTTCCAAGAACACCTATATAAGTGTTTTCAAGACACTTTTTGTTCTATAACAACATTGAATGTTTACCCCTGTTGCTGTTGGTACATTATCTCTATTTCACCTTTGAACATTTTAGTTGGGAGGCTGTGAGAAATGTATTTATATTTCAATGGGCATGTTCGGGGCATGTATACCTTAGTAGAACTTTTAACTCAAACCATGTTTATAATGATCCTTTTATACATAAATAATAATTGATGACATAATTCGACATAATTTGATCGAAAAATTAACTGGAATGTTTTATTTTTGGACATAAATAATAGTACCTTCTGAAAACGGACCCTCTTATGACATAGAAACCTCATCTCGCCATAGTTAAAAGAAAATACCAAGGAAAATACCAAACGCCCGACGGAGACTGAGGCAACTGATATATTAATTCTTTCAACTGCTATCTCGCGCTAATTCACTCTGTCAGAAATCATGTATCATTCATCTCTGTCTGGAATAGTCTTGTTTCAGTATTAGGGTTCTGACGTCACATCATCGCCTCGTTTTCAGAGGTCCGAAAAATCGGGGATTTCAATAATTTTTTATGAAACGTAGGGAGCTCACAGCAAGAAACGGTTTGCGGTGGTGAGCTAGTTTGGGTGAGTTCTATCGGATTATGAAATAAAAATTTTTTGTGATATAAGCCCATTGTGTGACAAAAGGACTGATGTAAGTCTGATTGAGATTATAACTAGGATTATACCAATTGGCCAACACTCACTAAAAGAGGTGAAGGGGCATGGTGTATGAAAGCTACTATGAATAGGTTTTCATCATTCAATAGAATATATCAACCTTTAGCATGATAATACACTACATGCTGTTTACCCCTAACCAAACCGATTTTTTACACCTGAACAAGTGTTTCTCATGGTTCTGCTTAATATGTTAGTATTTTCAGGAGAAGAGTAAAACAGTTTTGATCTTCCTGATATTATGAATGACAATTTTGTTCTGTATCTGCACTTGAATGATATTATTTTAGCTTGAATTTTGTTCTCGAATGTTGATGTTTGTATTGATACACAAGCTATTAACTGGAAACAAACTGGAAATTTTCTCCAATTAGTAATCTAAAATATTTTTATTAAGTAAGTATTTATTTTTCATAAGACTTGCACATCAAGTATAGAAATTGTCAATTTAGGATAAAAACAGTAATAATATAATAACTAGACACTAGCCCAAGATCTGGGAGAAAAAAAAAAACAAAAACAAAACAAACATAGAACTGTTCACAAATAATTATGTATGAAGCAGAAGTACTCTACGACCAATTATACATGAATTAATAATTCATACAGACTGATTTGCCTAAGATTGCATAAAAACATTGATTTTTAATTGGTTTCACATTTAAAAAAGTGCATGATTTCTAACTATTATTCTCACTGAAGCTTCCAGAGTGACCTTGTGGATATTCAATAACTAAGTTCTTTGATTAGCTCACTGGTACTGGTACTGGTGGGGGACGTTTGCACGCCAGCAACTAGTCCCTAATGGGACCATTTTGCAAACCCCAAGTGTTTTCAATAACTGATGTGGTTCGCTCAAGAGAGCTGGCAAACATCCTTTTCAGGCACCGCCCATCAGCTCTCTATCAGAGTTTTTCGGCTGTGTTTTGTAGGCTAGTAATGTACTCACTACCATATGCGCAGTGGCAGGGCCTGCTAACTATCCTCGTTAATCCCCGTTAGAAACTGGGGTCCACTAAGCAGCTGGCCCGCTCTCACGCTCAGCTGGTAGTTTTTCACACCCACCTACATACACCGTCCTACTTCTTCTCTGAGGCTTTGTTACTAACTCCATGCGCCACTTTAGGAGCAGCACTGTTAATTGGAACGCAATAGCGAATCATGCAGGACAATCCCAATCCCACGACCTTGCGGTTTTGAGACGGACGCTCTTCCACTGCGCCAATCCCGGCTTGATGAGCACAAATTGTACTAATATTCATTGAAACTAGATTTTACTCTCTAGGAATATTGCAATATGATGATGCCATAATGGTACATGAAGTACTGCATGAAAACTCAAAATTGGTACCAGAATTGAAAAATTGTATGCCTGACTTGGATGGATCCATAAATGACATAACTTTTGATTCCCATTATTATACACTGAATTCACGGAGTTCCGATAAAATACTATGCATCTCTCAAAATGGCGCCTGGACGCCTAAATGAAAGATTTTTTTTCAAAATGTAATGAGGGGGGGTGGGTCGAGTGGAACATCACTTGGAACGTCTTTCAATTCTCTATGCCACACTACAATTTCAGACAAGAATATTGATCCATATTTCCTTTTGGGAGCACAATGTAGCACTTGAACTACTTTTAATGCAAAAAAATTCCAGCTGTTTAAAAGTTGACTGAGGGGTAGGGGGGGGGGGCGGGGGCAATATATAGACACAGTATTATTGAAGTAAATTTCAGAGCATTTGCTGGAGATGGACACTTTTAAGAGTTAAGTACTATTCTTCAACAAGTTGTTTCATTTCGTGCATTTTTGAAAGGTGGCAAAAATATTTTTTTGCCGAAAATTTTGTTTCCATAAAACCATTTTCAAAGCATTGATTTCGTGAAAAAAATTGATCCCCAGCCACTGAAATCGTTCTTTTTATACCTAGTTCATAAATATAACTTGTTCTTCTCTTAGGATGAGTTATATTTTCATAGGATGACCGATTTTTGTGCCTGATGATCAATAATCATGACAAACAGAATGTTTTGGAAATGTATTCATAAAAACATGGAATTTTATAAAAATCATCTTTGTGACTGAAACATTGAGTTTTTCATGAAAAATTTTCCTTAGTTTTCTTTCATTTAGTTCCAGAATAGGACTGTCCAATTTGGCTCACTCTGTACATTAAACTACATGTAAAACTACTACTATTCCTACTATCCTAGATTTTTCTATTCAATACATTTCATATTTAATTCGTCTGAACAGTTATAATATGCTGTTGAACATTTGGTTGAATGATTTGATTTGTCAATCAATCAATTAATGAATTAACCTTTTTCTGGATCACTTGTCATTTCAGAACTCACACAACCAATTCATTTCCAGAATGGCATATCAAAGCTATAACAGAAAAACGATTCAATTTTATATATTTACGTCAAGAAATCACAGCCTCCTTAGATCCATTATAGTGGAATTAAGACTACTTCCATAGTCACTACAAAGAAGGGTATCTTTATTTTCCTTGTACAATTAAGGTGCATTGTTGATATGTGGCATTTTTCATTGTTTCAGAAGCTGTATCAACTTTTACCAATATAATACACAACTTTTATTATTCATTGTATAGACATTTGTAGGTATTTCATATTTTCCAGACTGAACTATCCACCATTTCCCTCAATATCGAGGAAACAGAGACATTTTCCGCCAATATGTGTGTCAATGAAATATCAAAGCAAGTTACCAGTAATGAGGTACTTGAGAAGCATGAACCTCCAGCATTAGCACCAAATGAGCCAGATCCAGGTACTTTTGTAACCGTTATTGAAGTTAATGGACTGAAGCAGAATAATGTTACTCCTCTCAAAACACCACCATCACCTGTCAATACACCACCATCACCAACCAAAACTCCACCAAAGTAAGTATTTACAAGAAACTTGATAGGTTGCATTGTAATGATTCATACTGGAACATGTCTCTGAAATTACTATTGTTTAAAAAAATATAATTAGCAAAGGACCTGCACTAAACTAGTGAAAATAATGAAGCGTTTGAATGCTAAGTTTATGAACTGATTGATAGCTTCATATATGAGAAATATTGAAAAAATTTTGGGAAGCAATAACTGTCTATTTGTGGAAGTGGAATCAATTAGAACTTCTGATTAGTTCACCACCACCTACAACATAACAATAAATCAGTCAATAATGAAAGAACTGTCAATTCAAATTGTTTTGTATTTCACTTCCTCATTGGTATTTTATTTAACAATGAAACAATGGCTTACCAGCAGTTGGCTATCATAAATGTGATAATATTTTCATTATTCTTGTATTGATACCATTCAACAGTAAACTTCGACCATAATCGTGATAAGCATTCACTTTCAATTTGTATAGAAGAATTTCAGAGCAAATTTGTATGCTTGGCATTTTGAAGAAATACTTTTCCTTCCTTCTGTATGGGCTTAACCTTTTCGGTTATTTACCCAGATTCTTCTTAGGGGTGAATCTGCACAAGGATGGAGAGAAGATGGTGAAAACACTGATAGTGTTTTGTTTCGACCAAAACGCTTACGCCATTGTCATTGAAAATGGCATAATAGTTCTCACGTCTCCGGTAAGATGGCAGATTTCTTACAGATTTCTGTAATATCAACCTCACTTCTTGACAATTGTCAGTGTCACTCAGAGTGTATTTAAATTCAAAATTTCAATTTTCCAGATTTTCATTGTTTTTCTTGTGTGTTATTCAAATCCCAGTTTCCAGTGTGTTTTATTTCGAGTATTGGAATCCACTTATCATTTTCGTCTTGTTTCCTCAGTTTGTTCATAGTTTTGTTTTTGTGTCGTCAGATTTTCTGATGGTGGAAAAACGAAAAACTCGTGAGTGTGTGATTTGCGGCAAAGAAAATGACTCTTTTACAGATTTGTATGCAGTTCCAAAGGTAAGTTTCCTTTAAAAGTAAGTAGGTACGGAAGTACAACAACTTTCCATTTTGTAAAATAGGTAGTTAGAGATTGAGGTGTCATATAGTGAGTTTCATGCAGTGGTTGAATAATTATATTAAAAAAATCAGAACTTCAGTCTCTCTTGTGTGGGTTTGAATTTTTTTTAGGAATATCCCTTCATACTTAACACAAATACTGTTGTAACATATGACCCCATCATTAGTGTTTTTTTGAGCAAAATTTCTTCCATTCTTATTGTTTCAATGGTTAGAGTGAAAACCAAAATAAAACACTCTTACCTTTCTAGTATAGGTACTTACTTTCAGAAAGGAACCTATTGCAAATGTAGGACACTATTCCTACAAACTTAACAGAGAAGAGGGATGGAACACTTTTTTTATTATGAAATACTTCCATTAAAACTTGATTCGTCATAGTCCAACCTGTGAAATGTATTTTCAGTAGGTAACTAGGTATAATTAAGAAAATGTGATTATGAATGTGCCCTATGAAAACGGCAACAAATCAAAGGGGGAAAGAAGTCCAAGCAGTTACTTAGAATATATAGGTAGAAGTGTGTTAATGTGTTTTTTTCTTTCTATCATAATATAATGATGGATATGATATATACCAATACCTAATAATTCATTTGATAGGAATGATAGGTATATCTAAGACTCAGGAACCTTCCTGGTACAATAACCACAGTGCACCATTTTAGTGCTCTAAACAAATATTTGTTGCCATGTCAATTTCAGAATATTAAAATTGATGAGTTAAAATATCAGTTTGGTTAGTGGTAAAACATTGTAAAATGATAAGGCGTTCATGATCAATTTAGACAATTTACTCTGAGTGAAACTAATGTTTTTCAGGATGACTGTCAACTTTTGGAATGGGTAATCGCTTGTGGCCAGCTTTTACCTTTGAAATCTTTTGTCTGCTCCAGACATTTTCCAGCCAGTAGGAGCAAAAAATTGAAAAAAGGAGATATGTACCATCAGTTCAGCAAGTAACTCAATGTATCATATTATTACTGTAAATGTAAAGGCATTCAATGTGTCTTTTAATATGACTATATATGCCTTCTGAAATCAACACAACTTGATATTTTAATCATACTGCAGACTAGAATCAAGATTTTATCCTTATAAGGGCATAAGTACATTGTTCCCCAAACCTGTGCTCTGGTCAATGTACCTAAAGAAATAATCAAACTCTCAGTCATGACAACATGAATTATTGTTTGAATTCTATTTTGTTATTGCAGAAATGTCTGAGCATGAGAAATTTTTTGAAATATATAAAAAATACAATAATTTGCATGATTTTAATGTGCATAAAAGTTTTCTAGAATTTTGGTTTACAAGTTATTCCAGAGATCTTGAGAGATGTTATCTTCCCCTGGACATCCCCTGTACAAGTCCACATCAGTATTGAATGAAAAAATAGTAAGGCACTTGATTTTCAGTAATTTTTCAATAGTTGGGAAATAAAAATAACTTTTTTGTAACATCTAGTAAATGACTAAAATTCTTTTTCCTTTCCACCCCTGGTTGTGCATCAAATGAAATTTTTATTCTCTAAGATAAAAGTGATGATGATCATGATTGCACTTCAAATATGAATTAGAGTTACTTCACATGTTCTTCAGCTAGGAAAGTAGTTTTTTATTGAAATTATAAAAAAAATCTTTTTACTAGGATTTAGGGTGATGTGAAATTTTTATTCAGGCAGGGAAAAAAATCTAATTTGAAGACATGAATACTATGTTATTATTTAGTTGGAATGTACCTTTATATATATAAGAAATAATACAATAACTACAATAATATAATTTAGTCATAACAGATCTCAAATACAAAATAATTACACTATTTTTATAGTTATTGTTCTCTATTGTGATTCATATATTGCAATCATCCTCTAAATACATATAACATGAAAAAAATGTATAAATAATTCAGGAATAACATCAAATTAGGTCAAAATTTTTCCACTAAATTTATCAAGAATCAGAAACACTTTATAATGACAGAAACATAGAATTATTACAATTTGCTTCCTAATATTTCTCCAATTTGGTTATTTTGAGTTCAAATAAAGGTGTAGTTATTGACATTGAATATTCATTTTCCAGCCCTGAAGATGATTCAATTCCAATTCCAATGAGTCCTCCCCAAGGTCCTGCTCTAACTGAAATTGACTGCTCTGCTAATGAAGAATCCCAGGAATCCTTTGCTATATCCTTCCATTCTCCTATTCCTCAACCTATCCAACCTATGGACATTGTAAATAATGATTGAATTTGGAAGCTTATTCAAAATTTGTGAAGTTATCTGAAGAGATATTTCAGGGTGCTCCAAACAAACGATATAGAGGTTTGATTTTTTTCAAATGGGACACCCTGTATTTCATTGCATTTTGAGATTCGCCCTGAACAGCTGATTTCATCAATATAATCACACTTGGGGTCTAGCGGGAATGATAACAGAGATATAGGGTGTTCAAAATCGAGAGTTTTCAACTTTGGGATTTTTTTGTATTCAAACTATTCTATTGGTTGAAACGACTAACATGTCTCTATCTGAACTTTTGATTTACTATCTACTGACTTAAATAATGGAAAAATACAGGGTGGTTCAAGATTCAGAATTCTGATCACCCTGTCTGTGTTCCAATTATTAAATGTCAGTAGATGGTGAATCAAAAGTTAAGACAGGGACATGGAAGCCGTTTTGACCAATAATGAATAGTTTCAGCACAAAAAATCCTATTGCTAAAAAATCTCGGTTTTGAACACCCTATATCTCTGATTCATTCCCACTAGACTCCTAGTGTGATCTATTGATAAAATCAGCTCTTCTGGAATAATCTAAAAAGGCGATGAAATACAGGGCTTTCCATTTGAAAAAATCAACTTATACCCTGTTGATCATTTGTTCTGAGTATCCTGTATTTTCTGATGTAGTGGAAGAAAATTATCTGAAAAACTATTTCATATATTTAAGTTCAATCAATCAACTTTATTAACAAGGAAACATGGTGAATATGCAGTGTGTCCCAGCTAAAACTTGTCACCCTATTAATCTTTGATGTCGTTGAAAAAATTTAAAATTGCTCGGACAGGTCAATTTCCATTTGGCGGGGCTCACATTTTTCTGCAACTATCATATTCCAAAGTTGAAATCTTGAAGCGTAACGGGCATCAACTCTCGATTTTCAAATGGAGCACCCTGTATTTTATTGCATTTTTAGATTCTCCCTGAAGAGCTGCTTTCATCAATGTATCACACTTGGTATCTAGCGGGAATGATTACAGAGATATAGGGTGTTCAAAATTGAGATTTTTTAACTTCAGGAGTTTTTTGTGTCGAAACTATTCATTATCGGTCAAAACGGCTTTCATGTCCCTATCTTAACTTTTGATTCACTATCTACTTATATTTAATTTGAACGAATACAGGGTATCAGTAGATAGTGAATCAAAAATTAAGATGGGGACATGTGAGTCGTTCTGACCGATAATGAATAGTTTGGACACAAAAAAATCCTAAAAGTGTGAAATCTCGATTTTGAACACTAGATTCCCGCTAGATACCAAGTGTGATACATTGATGAAAGCAGCTCTTCAGGAAGAATCTAAAAATACAATGAAATACAGGATGCTCCATTTGGAAATCGAGAATTGATGCCCGTTACACTTCAAGATTTCAACTTTGAAATCTGATAATTGTAGAAAAATGTGTCCCCTGCCAAATTCAAATCGACCAGTCCCAGCAATTTTCAATATTTTCAACGACATGGGAGATTTGAGGGTGACAAGTTTAAGCTGGGACATGATGTAGAAATATATTTGACAAAATAAATAAGACAGTAAAATAAGACTCACACTCAAGAAATCTTTTTTTTTCAAGTTCATCTGAAAATGATTCTCAATTGGCTCAGCTGTTAGGTACCCAATGGA